TTACAACCTTCGCAGAAGCCAAGGAATCGAATGAAAACTCTCTATAGAATTAAAAAACACGTACCTGGTTTACTAGAGAGAACCCATTTCTTCTCCACATTCCAGCATGTACTTGGGCACATAAAACAAGACATCTAAGAGGGTGTTCTATCAACATGGGTGGGCTAAGTTCACTCTGTATATACAAAACAAACAAATAAAAAACACACCAAAAAATCAACTTTATAAAGAAAGCCTGGTTGATAGGAATGGAAGCTTTTATAAAATGTAAGTTAAAAAATTCACTTGAAGGCCTTAACAGAAAAGACTGAGGTCCCCCTGAGGAAAAAGGAAATCTGTCTCCATGATTGCCTTTGTACTTGAGACTGCTACATCGACTCTTCCCTGGGTCTCTCCGGTCTGCTTTGGGCTGCCCTGCAGATTTCAGATTTGCCAGCCCCCACAATCGTGTGAGACAAGTCCTTAAAATAAATCTACATATATATGTAGAGAGAGCGTGTGCACACACATCTTATTAGTTCTGTTTCTCTGGAGAACTCAAAGTAATAAAGTTTGTTTCAAAGCGATTTCAAATACAAGGAACGTAATACATATGTATTCACTTTTAAAGGTCAGCACCACTTACTAGAGGTAGGAGCTCTGGAAATTTATATGCCACTTCACTTTTGCTTAATAAAACATGCAAACCTGCATGGAAGAACAAACAAACAATTTCTATAAGTGAAAATCGTTTAGAAAAAAATCCCTAAAAATTCACTCAATTTCATATATTTTCTTTTCTGTTGGGGAACCTATCAGGTTACAAATTACGATACAAAATGAACTATATCCATAAATGAAGCTTTTCAATGGTCATTCTCATGAATCTCTATATCAAAGGCACACTTAATACATGTACCAACATACCTTGTTGACATTTTAAAAAGTAAATGTTAGATGTACAAGCACAGCAAATGCACCTATATAACTATCAAAAGTATTTATACATGGTATACCAACTTTAAGAGTCATATTTTCCTGGGCCATGGAGTTTGTTCCCATTTAAAGTATAACAGTGAGAGATTCTTCTGGCAACTGAACAGAGCAACTGGCCATGGGACTTGTGGTCTGCACTGATCCTGACCTCAGCATTAAGTTCCCCCAAACTTCCCGTTTAGGATCAAAGCCTCTTTAGCTTCTGACCACAAGAGGCGCTTATACAGCTCAACCTTAGTTCATTCTGATTGTGTCCTGTTTATGCTGTTGCCTAAACAGAGAATGCGTTTTATAATCTTATCAATGTATGGTGGCCACTTGCTCAAGCCTGGTTTGAGGCTTTATTTGGAAAGACCTGCACTACTAATACCATTCTAATAATTTGTTCTCAACATTACTACTCAAGCTCCATCAGCACATGCCCCAAGTTGTTCATGAACTGTTTTATATATGTTTACTTAGCTATCCAATTAGATTATAAGCATTCAGGCCAAGGTTTATCAAATACAATGAGATGAAAAGTGAAAAATATTCACTCAACAGCTTTGAGGGAGGTAAAGACCTAGGCAGAAATTAGTACATTTTTAGAGTATTGACTTTTTTCACTGTGCATAACTATCAGCTTCTACCCATAAAACCAGATTTTTAAAGGCAGAGGAGATCAGTGGCTGAGTTGGAGACAGGACTCACATTCTTGCCTTCTAGTCCAACACTTTCTGACAATACCATGCTATGAGTTGTCTATGTTAAGGATCAACAGTTCAGTTGCTCAAAACACATATAAAAACAAAACTAGGTCTGAACAAGTTACAGAAAAGAGATTTCTTCATGTGACCATAATTTTGTCTAGGTAATTATCTGTTGTACTATTTTAATATTCATATGTCTAAGAATAAACAACTCCATAATCTTCACAGTAAGCTGTCTTAAATCACCATGACTTGAAGGGTCTATCAGCAGGATAATGTGATAATGCTCAGAACAATGAACAAAATGCCTTCAGAATGAAAGAGGGACCATTACTACTAACCTCATGTACATTAAAAGGATAATGAAGGAATATTATGAACTCTAGGCCCATAAGTTTGATAACTTAGGTGAAATGGATCAATTCCTTGAAAGACACAAACTACCAAAACCCACACAAGGAGAAACAGATAACCTCAACAGTTCTATATTAAAGAAATTAAATCAGTAAGTAAGCTTCCCAAAACTAAAGCATCAGATGGTTTTATTGGTGAATTCTAGCAAACATTCAAGGAAGAAATGATACTATTCTCCATAATTTCTTCCAGAAAAATTGAAACAAAAAATACACCTTCAAATCACAATAAGTTACTTAAGATAAATTACATATTCTGCAATAAGTAAAAATACCTGCCTTCAGAACTTCTCTTCCTTCTGTTCTCTTGAGTTAAAACGGAACTAAAGGTAACAACAGTATGTGAGCAGGCTAAGAATACCTGGAACTGAGAAATATGGAAGGTATACTGAAATGAGTCTATAGATGGATACTGCATGTTCAAAGTCTTTGGCTGCTGCAAGATGGCACCTTCAGATCTTTGACCACTTATACACTGCCTATAAATCAACTACTCGAGATTAAAGAATTATCACCTCAATATGGGCTCGCTCTTGACCTGCTGCTTAAAGAAGATCAATAAATGCGAAACAGCTTATAGGGAGAGAAGAAAGAGCAAGAGGAAACCTAGGGTGATTTCGAATGATGAGCAATCACTTAAATAACAGATTAGTTTGAATTTTAACAACACTGACTTTGAAACTAGATTCAGTTAAACAATAAAACATGCTAACTGTAGTTAGGAAGTCTGGAGAAGGCCGGGCGCGGTGGCTCACGCGTGTAATCCTAGCACTCTGGGAGGTCGAGGCGGGCGGATCGCTCAAGGTCAGGAGTTCGAGACCAGCCTGAGCAAGAG